CTTTCCAATTCTTATAAATTTATTTTTGCTCAAATACATATATTAGCATACTTTCAAAAGTCAATAGTACATAAAAAGTACACTCAGAGAAGGGTTATTCTCTCCCATATACCATCTGCCCCATTTTGCCAAACATAAGGAAACATCCTTGTTTCCCCAGGTAGAAAAGAATTGCACTGGCTGAATCTATCTGATAGCACTATGTTGGAACTCTGGAGTCTACTGAGGTTTGCAACTTCCAGAGAATACTTGGAAGCTAAACTGCAATTAATTTGGGTCAATTTCAGCTCTTTGCACAGTAGCAGCTACCCAGGCCCCAGCTGCAGCCCCAGCCCAGGGGAAGGCAGCTATGCCTGTGTTCTTGGAGCAGCTTGCACACAAATTCCAGCAGCCAGGACAGGCAAAAAGGACCCTACCCTTCAAATATCAGGTATCTGTGCTCTCACCTCTGATTGCTGCTTCTGATCACAGAGGTGCAGACAAAGAAGTGGGCAGCCATTTCAACAATGTATCTCCTCCATTGTTGGAAGCCCTTCCCTTCTGATTGAAAGGTCTTCCAGGGGGTTTAAAGGGACAGAGGTGTTTATTTCCCCTCTTCACTTTTCTATTTTTCCTCCTTTGAGAGCCAGGCATTAAATGGTAGGCATTTGAAAACCACTGCATATACAGAGAAAATCAGAAAGTGACCATACATGCCAGGAAGGGGCTCAAAAAAGATCTTTAAAGACCTTAGGTTTAGGGCAGCCCCGGTGGCTCAGTGGTTTGGTGCGCCTCAGCTGGGTGTGATCCTGGAGACCTGGGATCGAGTCCCATGTTGGGCTCCCTGCATGGAGCCTGCTTCTCCCTCTGCCTGTGTCTCTGCCACTCTCTCTCTCTGTCTCTCTGTGTCTGTCATGAATAAATGAAATCTTTAAAAAAAATAAAGACCGGGGATCCCTGGGGGGGCTCAGCAGTTTAGAGCCTGCCTTCAGCCCAGGGCATGATCCTGGAGTCCCGGGATCAAGTCCCACGTCGGGCTCCCGGCATGGAGCCTGCTTCTCCCTCCACCTGTGTCTCTGCCTCTCTCTCTCTCTCTCTCTCTCTCTCTCTCTGTATCTCATGAATAAATAAAATCTTTAAAAAAAAAATAAAGACCTTAGGTTTAGGGTCAGCCTCAGCACAGAGACAGCCTATGACTATAATAAATAAATAACAAAAACCAGTAAACCCAGGGGAAAGGGAAGAATTTCATTTAGAGTCATCATATTATTAGATTCAAATGTTCAGTGTCCAGCAAAAACAAAAAACAAAAACAAAACAAAAAAAACCACAAGGCTTACAAAGAACAGAAAAGTATGGACCATTCAAAGGGAAAAAAAAATCAATAGAACCCATCCCTGCAAAAGATCTGGTTGCACTTATACTAGACAAAAACTTTATTGTAACTGCTTGTTCTTGTAAAGAAGATCAAAGAGCTAAGCAATAATGTGAAGAAAGTAAAATAACATGAGCAAATGGAAATATCAATGAAGAGAAAACTAAAAAGAAAGGCTGCAAAGTATAATAGCTGATGTAAAAAAATTTACTAGAGAGATTGAATGGCCTATGTGAGAAGGCAGGAAAGAATCAGCAAACTTGAAGTTAGGACAAAGGCAATTATTGAGTCTGAGGAACAGAAATAGAATTGAAGAAAAGTGAACAGAACCCATGGGTCCTATGGGACACCATGAAGTGGACAAACATAATGCAGTGCTGGAGAAGAGAAAGAGAAATTAACTCTCAAAAAAAGAAAGTATGTGAAGAAATAATGGCTGAAAACTCCCCAAATTTGATAAAAGACATGATTATAAATGTTCAAGAAGTTCAATGAACTCCAAGTAAAATGAATCCAAAGAGACTTACACCAAGACACACTGTAATCAAACTTTTAAAAGACAAAGAATCTTAAAAGCAAGAGAGAAGCGAATCGTCACATACAAGAGACTCCTGCCCCCACCCCTGCCCTAAACGATAAGATTATCAGCAGATTTCTCATTAGGAACTTTGGAGACAGTGAGGCAGTAGGATGCTATATTCAGTGCTAAAAGAAAAACTGTCAACTAAGAATCCTGTATCTAGCAAAACTGTCCTTAAAAGTGAGGGAGGGGCTCCTGGGTAGTAGCTCAGTCAGTTAAGCATCAGACTCTTGATCTCAGCTCAGGTCTTGATCTCACAGTTGTTGAGTTCAAGCCCTGTGTTAGGCTCCATGCTATGCTGTAGGGACAGAGCTGTATGGGAACAGAGTTTTTGTATGTTCTTGAAGTTAAGCTGGTATAAATTCAAATTAGAGGTTTGTAACTTTGGAGTGTAAAATGCAATTCCCATAGAAACCACAAAGGAAATAGCTATAGAATATATACAAAAGGAAATGAAAAAGGAATTTAAACATTTCAGTACAAAAAAATTGACTAAACACAAAACAGTAACGCAGGAAATAGGAGATAAAAGAGTAATAAGGCATAGAGAAAATAATGACAAGTCCATCCTTATCATTAATTAAATGTATCAAATAGATTTAACTCTCCAATCAAAACACAGACTGGCAGATTTAAAAAAAAACATGATCCAACTATATGCTGTCTACAAGAAACTTGCTTTAAATCCAAACACACAAATAGACTGAAAGGGAAAGGATGGGAGAAGATATTCTATTCCATGCAAATAGTAATCAATGGGGGCTATATTAATATCAGAGCAAGGGTGGCTATATTAATATCAGACAAAATATACTTTAAATAAAAAACACAAGTGATAAAGGACATTATATATATTAATAAAAGCTTTAATACACTAAAAATATATAGTAATTATAAACATTTATATGCTTATAAATGCCCCTAACGGGCATTTATATGCCCATTAAAATATATAAAGCAAAAAGAGCTGAAAGGAGAGACAATTCTACATGTTGGAGACTTCAATAGCCCACTCACAATAATGGATAAACCACTAGATAGATGATAAGTAAGGAAACAGAGGACTTAACACAATAGACCAACTAATCTAACAGATATATACAGAACACTCTCCCCAACAACAGCACACACATTCTTCTGCAGTGAAAAATGAAATATTTTCCAGGATAGACCATATGTTAGGCCACTAGTTAAGTCTCAATAGATTTTATTTTTTTTAAGATTTTTATTTATTCATGAAATAGAGAGAGGCAGAGGGAGAAGCAGGCTCCTCATGAAGCAGGAAGCCTGATGCAGGACTTGATCCCAGGACTCTGGGATCATGACCTGAGCCAAAAGCAGATGCATAACCAACTGAGCCACCCAGGCACCCTGTCTCAATAGATTTTAAAAGATAGATGTCATACGGAGTATCTTCTCCAACCACAATAGAATGAAGTTAGAAATCAGTAACAGAAGGAAAACTGAAAATTCACAAAACTAGAAAAGGAAAACAACACACTTTTAAACAACCAATGGATCAAAGAAGAAACCATGGAAAATGGTTTTTAGTTAGGGAAAATGAATTAGTTAATGAAATGAAGTTAAGCTGGAAAACAAAAATTTATGAGATACAGTGGAAGTGGTACTAAAGGGAAGACTTATAATTGTAAATTCTTACATAAAAAAAATAAGAAATCTGGGATCCCTGGGTGGCTCAGCGGTTTGGTGCCTGCCTTTGGCCCAGGGCGCGATCCTGGAGTCCCGGGATCGAGTCCCACGTCGGGCTCCCTGCATGGAGCCTGCTTCTCCCTCCTCCTGCGTCTCTGCCCCCCCCCCCTTATAAATAAAAATAAATCTTTAAAAAAAATAAGAAAGCTATTTAGCCAACATAACTTTACAATTTAAAGAACTAGAAAAAGAAGAACAAATTGAACTCAAAACAGAAGGAAGAAAATAATATTAGATCAGAGATAAATGGAATAGAAAACTGAAAAACAGGGAAAATTAATGAAACCAAAAGTTGTTTCTTCGAAGATCAACAAAATTGACAACCCTTTAGCTATGAGGACTAAGAAAAAGGAGAGGGGCACCTTGGTGGCTCAGCAAGTTGTGTCCAACTCTTGATCTCAGGATTGTGAGTTCAAGCCTCTCCCCACCCAAAAAAAGAAAGAAGGCTCAAATTACTAAAATCAGATATGAAAATGGGGACATTACTAAATTACTAAATGCTCTGCCAAACATTTAAAGAACAATACCGGGCAGCCCGGATGGCTCAGCAGTTTAGCGCCTGCCTTCGGCCCAGGGTGTGATCCTGGAAACCCAGGATCGAGTCCCACGTTGGGATCCTTGTATGGAGCCTGCTTCTCCCTCTGCCTGTGTCTCTGCCTCTTTCTCTTTCTCTCCTTCTCTGTGTCTCTCATGAATAAATAAATAAAATCTTAAAAAAAAAAAACAATACCAACCTGTCTCAAACTTTTCCAAAAAAACTGAAGGGGAATACTTCCTAACTCATTTATGAGGACAGCATTACTCTAATATCAAAGCCAAATAAAGACACAATAGACATAAAGGATTATAAAAGGATAGTATGAACAATTACACACCCCAAACTGGATAACCTAGATGAACTGGACAAATTCCTAGACACACAAAACCTACCAGACTGGGACAGCCTGCGTGGCTCAATGGTTTAGCGCCACCTTTGGCCCAGGGTGTGGTCCTGGATTCCTGGAATTGCATCCCACGTCGGGCTCCCTGCGTGGAGCCTGCTTCTCCCTCTGCCTGTGTCTCTGCCTCCCTCTCTCTCTCTCTCTCTCTCTCTCATGAATAAATAAAATATTTTTTAAAAAGACAGTAGGATATCACAGAAAGTAATGATCGTGTCAAGTGCTGCTAATAAGTAGTGAGAATTTAAAGTCAACCATTAGATTTAGCAAAACGAAGATCATTCGTAATTTTGACAAGAGCAGTTTCAGCTGACCTGATGAGTGTAAAAAGTCTGATTAGGTGGGTTCAGGAGAGAACAAGGGAAAAGAAACCGGAAGCAAGATATATCAATCTTATATCGCAGGAGTTTTTCTAGAAATGGGGCAGTCGTTGAAGGCAAAGGTGAAACTCATGGAACTTGGGAGGGATCCAGTTTGCAGGACAGTGGCTGCATCCTGCAAAATCCAGTGGGCAGCTCTCCCGTGCCCTGCATGGATGGAGAAAGTATGGCCTAGGGAGCGCCGCACCGTGGACGTGGCCCAAACTGGAGTAGAAGCCACCTGCCGTTCTGAGTGTCGTTCCGGAGAGAGATGCCGCACTACTCCCTCTGAGCCACCTCTTCTCGCTGCTCTCCCAGTCCCTCCCTTCGAGGTCCGGGTCCGTCTCAGAACCGGAGGGGAAGGGCGACCCTGTAGCCAAGGAAGGCAACGAGCGCGGGAGCGACTCAGGCGGCCGGTGGAGCTCGCGGGAGGAGGCAGGGTGAGCCCTGCGGGTTCCGGGGGCGGGAAGTGGGGTCCCGCTCGCCCCGGGGCCTCCGGGACGGCAGCCCTTCTCGCCAGCGCGCGCATGCGCATCTGAACCCCACGCCTCCGGTCGCCGCGCGCCCTAGCTCCACCCAGGTGCCCGCACGCACGCGTGGCGGGTGGGTCTCGCGTGCTTTCTTTCCCGCCAAAATTTGGTAGTGGTATTTCCCAGCCCCAGCAAGGCGGAGGTGAGGCCTTCTCAGGGGGCTGGGCCGGCGCGGGACAAGGGAGCGATTGCTTGCGCTCGGGCAGCGTCTCTGCTCCCCACCAACCCACTCAGACATCGGTTTCCTCGGGCGTCTACACCGAAGTCAGAGGGGAGAAGGGCTCTCAGGTTTGCCTTTCTGCGTCCACCCCCGTCCACCTGTTTGCCTCAATGAGGAGGGGTGCAGAAAGAAGCCGGAGAAATATTGGAGTACCGACTGCTTGTACCACTGGTTTTATTTTATTTTAAAGATTTTATTTATTTATTCATGAGAGTCACACACAGAGAGGCAGAGACACAGGCAGAGGGAGAAGCAGGCTCCATGCAGGGAGCCCAACGTGGGACTCGATCCCGGGTCTTCAGGATCACGCCCTGGGCCGAAGGCGGCGCTAAACCGCGGAGTCACCCGGGCTGCCCCACTGTTGCTTTTATAATAGGTTTTGCTTTGTGGCTTCTCCAGGCGGGGTGGGGCTCAGGGGCTGCCCTCGTACAGGGTTCCGGGGACCCCTTTAGAAGCACACAGAGCCAGCTGCGCATGCGGGCCGCTGATGCAGGGCCTCTGTCATAAAGGCCTCACGCACACAGGCCTGCATGGCTGGTGACTGGCTTTATAGCCAAGGACCTGCTGGAGTGGGCCCGGCCCTACCACGTTCTGGCTGTGTGGTGGGAGAAAGCTATAGTAGTTCTTTTAAGGAGGGCTGCTACACTCAGTGAATAAAAATGCAGAACGTCCAGTTAAGTTTGAATTTCACTTAAAAAATCTAATCATTTTTTAAGCATAAGTAATCCCAAATATTATTTACCTGAAATTCAAATGTAATTGGGAATCAAATTCAAATTTAATTATTTTATTTGGTAAGTCTGGTTGAAGGTTTTATGGGAGATAATGCTGCAACAGCCCCTAGAGCTGCTCCTGGCGCAAACATGCAACAATGTGTGTTTATATAAAAAGGCCAAGCTCCTCCCACCGGGCACTCCTCCACCCCCTCACCCCCCCACAGGAGTGTGTCTAGTCGTCTGATGTAATAGGTGAAATGGCTAGCACTCTAAACTATTCTGTCCTACAAGGTCAGTCCTTAAGCCCTCCCCACCCCAGTGGAGCTCTAGGATATTGACCCAGCTCTAGGATAACGAAGAGCCGCGGTCCCCCGGCCTCCCACACTTGGCACATTCATGTGCGTATTTCCAGGTTCTTAGTAATGTTGGTGCTGTATCACTGGACATGAGTGTATGATGGGGGGGTGGTATTGAGGGGAGTCTGAACCATTACTGAACCATTATGATGTTGGAGCCAGTGACACTCTTTCTGTGGAAAACTGACAAGAGTCTGTCTCTTCCAGAATAAGGGGCATGTTGTCTTCTGTGGAAGGTAACACTGTGTGAGCTAGGAGGGAATGGAGAGAGAATCAGGAAGTCTATGATGTTGTATGGTGTTAGTAATAGGTTTTCCCAATTTAGAGAATGTATATGGAATGGCAGTGGTCCCACTGAGCTCATTAAGACATGTGGCTGCATGTGAGATAAGACTGTTCAGTCTGAGGAGTCTAAAGGGCAAAAGGAAACATCGGAGTGGCTGCATCTAGGATTGTAAATGTAAGTCTATTTGATCCTGAAGTTTCTCTTTTTGCCTGTCCTCTACTCCCCCAATGTCAGCATGCCCCTTCACTTCTCAAACAATAATAGCACCCTGAATTTATATTGCACTGTTTCGTTATAATGCCTTTTAAAAAAATCATTCATTCATTCATTCGTTCATTCATTCATTCATTCATGAGAGACACAGAGAGAGGCAGAGACATAGGCAGAGATAGAAGCAGGCTCCCACAGGAGCTGCATGCAGGACTCGATTCCAGGACCCTGGGATCATGCCTGAGCCAAAGGTAGACATTCAACCACTGAGCCACCCAGGTGCCTCATTAGAATGCCTTTTGAATTTTATTATTTTGCTTTATTTTTTAAAGGCTTTAGTAGGGAAAAAGAGCATTCCTTTCTGAGGCCAAGGCTGATTAAAGTGAAATGTCTCTCTGCAAACCTGGTGGAATGGAGTGCTAGCCCAGGATTTAGGCAGAAGTGTCAGGCATTTTCCATTTCCAATCAGAGCTCCTACTCTTAAATTTCCAGAGGAAGTTTTAGAGTCTTTGAAATTGTGGTGTCTAACCCTCATTTCTCTTCACATTAGCTTGATGTAGCAGCCTTTTCTCTCTTTTCTGTATTTTCTCTCCTTAATCGTTTCTTCCTCCTGACATTTAAATATGTTTAATTATCTCATTAAAAAAATCTTCTCTCCAGGGGCCAGTCTTTTGGTCTTCCCATGCACGTCCTTGAGAACTCTATACAGGATTCTGGAGGGTTTAAACTTGCGGTGGAAATTGAAGTGAGGTAGTAACTATTGTTAGATCAAGAAAAATGCTTGGAATTGTTCAGCTAGGGATAGGAGTCCCCAGGGTGGTCCTCCAGAGCACTCTGGGGCCAGCTTGGGAGCTCTTTGCCTAGGTCCTCAGCCAGGTAAGTGCAGAAATTCAGAATAAACTTTTAGGAACTTTTGTAGCAATTTGACAGAATAATCTTGTCTATTGAACTTCATGAAAAATCTAGAGTTAAAAAAAATCTTCCCTATATACTCTTCTACCTCTCTCCCTCTCTCTCTTGCTTTCTCCTCTTCTCCCTCTCTTCCCTTCATCTCCAAACTTTTGAAAAAGTTCTTATTTTCATTTTCTCAGCTTCTTCCAGTCTGACTTCAGGAATAACCACTCTGCTGATACTGTTCTCATGAAGGACACCAGTATCATTTGCCAAATCCACTTTCTTGACCTCTCTGTTACAGATGATCTACCTTCATGAAACTCTCCTCTAGTTTCTGGAAGATCCTCTCTCTCTCTCTCTCTCTCTCTCTCTCTCTCTCTCTCTCTCTCGTTGTTCTTTCTCCATGTGTACCCCCTTAATTATCTGGTTATCAAGTCTCCTCATGCTGCATACCCCCATGTGGGCTTACTGTTCCAGATACCTGGCTTCAGCTGTTCCTGTAGGTTGGTCATTTTCATATATTTGTTTCCAACCCACACCTTTTCCCTGATCTTCAGACCCACATATTTAGTTGTCATCAGATATTTCATAACCACTTCAACAAATCCAAAATCAAACTGATCTTTGCTCCTCCATACTGGCTCCTACACTTCTTTAGTCTATTTGAATATATAAACATTTTTTAAAGATTTTATTTAATTTTTCATGAGAGGCACAGATAGAGAAAGGCAGAGGCATAGGCAGAGGGAGAAGTATCTCATAGTTTTGATTGCATTACCCTGATGACTAATGTTGTTGAGCATCTTCTCATGTAGGTATTGACCATTTGTATATGTTCTCTGGAGAAATGTTTTTTTTCAGATTGTTAGCCTATTTTTAATTGAGTTTTTTTGTCTTTTTATTGTTCAGTTGTAACAGCTCTTTACATATTCTAGATACTGTATCCTTACCAAACAGATGATTTGCAAATATTTTCTCCAATTTTTAGGTTGTCTTTTTATTTTTTATTACTAGCAAAATAGAACTGGGAGGTAGTAGAGGTGGAAGAACTGGAAAAAGTTAATCACCAAACAAGCTGCCTAAACATAGCTTCCTGCTGTGGAGGAGAGTGATTTATTTGGCTGTTATCTTTCCCACATTTCCTGATTCAAAGAAACCTGCTGTTAGCAGGACTAGGTCTAGGAGCCCCATTTTCCAATCTCTTCACTTCCTGGGAATTTGGGAAAGGTTGTAGAATTCTCAGGCTTTCAAGATACAAAAGACAATATGGAGAAGAAAGGATGGCCCTTAGGTCCAGTGTCATCCCCAGCCCCATCTCTCAGTATTTGTTGATGCCAAAGAGATGAACCCCATGGAATCTTAGCCAGCATTACACTGAACAATGAGGCTGTGTTGATGAGCAAATGAGCAACATCATACTTGGTGTAGAAGCTGGCCAGGAGGCAGAGTACAACAGGAGAGATGCTGAGGAATTTGCAGAAAGAGATAAATTGAAGCCTGTAGTCCATGTGTTCCCCGTGTGTCAATAGCCAAGCCTTTCCTTGGTCAGGGGTCTCAAAGGGTGTCCCTTTCACCATATGTAAGAAAACATACATAGCCTGCTGGCTTCAGAAGCCTGTCTGTCTTGAGGTCACACATTTCTACACCTGGGGTCTCCAGGAAGCAGCCACCTGTCTTTTTACTTTTTTGATAGTATCCTTTGATGTACACATTTTTTTAAAAAGATATTCTTCATTTATTCATGGAAACACACACACAGAGAGAGAGGCAGAGACACAGGCAGAGGGAGAAGCAGGCTCCATGCAGGAGCCCAACATGGGACTCCATCCCAGGTCTCCAGGATCATGCCCTGGGCTGCAGGCGGTGCTAAACCGCTAAGCCACCGGGGCTGCCCTGATGTACACATTTTTTGATGAAGTCCAATTTGTTTTTTCCTTTGGTTATTTGTGGTTTAAAGGTCATCTCTATGAAACCACTGTTTACTACAAGGTCAGACTTATACCTATGTCTTTTTTTCTAAAAGGTTTTAGAGTTTTTAGCTCTTACCTTTAGGTACTTTGGGGCTAACTTTTGTATATGGTGTGAGATAGGGACCCAAATTCATTAGTTTGCATGTAGATATTCAGTTGTCCCAGCAACAGTTCTTGAAAATATATATTATTTTCTAAGTAATCCTATTTCTTTGTTTTTCCCATCCATATTTATTCTGTATTCTTTACTGAATTTTTCTTTTTTCCTCACCTCTGTTTCTTCTTGTCATATTTGTGATATTTGATTTTTTTCCATTTTTCCTATTAAGGAATTCATGAATCAAGCAGCATCCCTTCCAGCAAGTAGAGGGAAGCTTTCTTCCTTAGCATTTTTCTAAGTAAGCTCTATGACCAATGTGGGGCTTGAACTCACAACCTTGAGATTAAGAACCTCATGCTCTACTGACTAAGGCAGCCAGGGGCCTCTCTTCCTTAGCATTTTTTTTTTCTGAGAGAGAGAGAGAGAAGCACTTCCTTCTTCTTTTTCCTCTCAATCCAATCAGAAAATCATTTGGAGAACTTGATGGGTATCCCCTGGAATTTCGAGGTATGTAGGTTCCTGACTCATGCTTGGAAAAATGTTTAAAGGTATATATATAGGCTTTCAGAAAGCTGGTCATGAGCCAGCTCTGTCCATGTTAAGTATCTGTTTCCAAGGTAATGAAGGGGACTCAGTTCCAGCTCTCTATCACCTATGAACCCTAGTCCTATCTCCTCTCTGCTATGGCAACACTACCCTAATTCTGGTTCTAATAACTATACCTCCTCAGAACTATCACAAAGGCAGTTTTGCACTTATTGCTGTGTCTTTTTTCCCCTCCCTCTTCATTTCTGGCTCCTGGAATTCAGTCTCTTGTTATCTTATCCATAATTTCTAGGAGTTTGTAAGTGGGAGAATTTCAGGCTATTTTAGTCTGGCATCTTACCAGAACTAGACATCTATTTTAACTTGCTCAGTATCTGCCTTATGTATTAGATAGTAAACTCCAGGAAGGCAGACAATTATTCTTGTTCACTGCTTTACCTCCAGCTCTCAGCACAGAGCCTAGCATATAATGAATATTGAGTAAATATTTGTTGAACATGTAAGTAACTCACAACATGAAGTCTTCAGTAGGAAAGAAGGATAGATATAATTAAGTCTAAAAATTATGTTTACAAAAATAAGCATCCCAATGAAGAGAAAGAAGGGCTGCAAAGCCAGGGTCCAGTATTCTTCCAGCTATGCTGCAATGGACTCACCTAAGCTCACCTCACAGCTTTCTTTTGTGACATTTTTTCCTGTTTCTAGATTTCTAAAGATCCTACTTCACTCCTTTCTTCTTTAATTTTTATTTTTTTCTTTTAATAATATGATTTATTAGGTATAACTTACATGTAATAAAGTACGTCCATTTTTTTAAATTTTTATTTATTTATGATAGTCACACACACACACACACACACAGAGAGAGAGAGAGAGAGAGAGAGAGAGGCAGAGACATAGGCAGAGGGAGAAGCAGGCTCCATGCACCGGGAGCCCGACGTGGGATTCAATCCCGGGTCTCCAGGATCGCGCCCTGGGCCAAAGGCAAGCGCCAAACCGCTGCGCCACCCAGGGATCCCCAAGTACGTCCATTTTAAGTGTATGTTTGGATGAGTTTTGTACCCATATAACCCATATAACCACTACCACAGCCAAGATATTGAACGTTCCCATCACTACTTTAAAAAGCTCCCTTTTGGGGCAACTGGGTGGCTTAGTCGGTTAAGCATCTGCCTTCAGCTCAGGTCATGATCTTGGGGTCCTGGGATCAAGCTCCGTTTGGGGCTCCCTGCTTAGTGGGGAGCCTGCCTCTTCCTCAGTTCCTCCCCCTGCTCATTCTCTCTCTCTCTCTCTCTCAAACAAATGAAAAATCTTTTTTTAATAAAGTTCCCTTTTACCCCTTCTCAGGAATCTCCCAGTCTCTCAGCCCCAGGTAATGACTGATTTGCTCTGTTCTTATGGGTTAGATGACTCTTTTCTAGAATTTCATAAAAATGGAGTCATATTGCATATGCTCTTTGGTGTCTGGCTTCTCCTCCTTATAATATTTTTGAGATTCATCCATGTTGTTGCAAGGGTCAGTATTTCATTGTCACTCTGATTTTTCTGAAATAAGAGAGTTTCTCCTCTTTCTAATATTTTCTCTTTCCCTGTTGCTCTTCTCTCAATTCCCTTGATTTCCAGTCTAACGTCAGATGTTGTGATAAGTCATTTTTACCTTCCACAGGGTCTGTAATCCATGATGTCTGTAAAGAGCAGGAACATTACAAAGATGTCACCTTTGCCCAGTCTTATTCCTCAGTGGAAGGACTTGAAAGTCCTCATAAATCATAGCCTGGAAGATATAAAGGTAATGTGTGTAAGGGGTATGCACATAGTGGGCTTTTACTAAGTATCCTTGCCAAGGCAGCCTGTGGCATGAGCAACATGTGAGCAGCTTTGGAAGAACCCTCCCATACTCCTCAACAACTCCTTCTTCTAGATTAAGATGGTAACAGTGATAATTAAAACACATTCTGCTGAATAATAATAATAAAAAAAACAGAAAAGGGACTCACATGGATTAAACAAGCAGGAGGTGCCTTTGTGTTACAGGTTGTCAAGGACCCATGTTGTTTTCCTTTTTTTCCACACTATCCTTAATATTTTAGTTTATCATCTTAAGGTTATGAGCTAGTTCCTTCACTTCCAGGCATTGGCTTTAAATTCCAAGAAGAAAGAAGGCCAGAAAGTACAGAGCTGTGCCAGCCCTGGAGTACCACAGTGCCACTCTATATTGCCAGAATTTCTGGGTCCATGATTACCTTAAACAAGATCTGAGTTTTATTGGGATGGAAGGAGGGGGATGAGGAAGGACGGGGATTGATATAGAGTAGGCAATAGTATGTACAGACACAGATATATTGCTTGGGTTTAACATATTCTCAGTCTTTTAGAGTCTTCCTGAGAAAAGCATTAATACTGTTGAGTGAGTGAGCGAATTATTTGTACATAAAGTCTGGAAAGGAGAAGAATGGTGATTAACTAATGGAATAAGGGGTACGTAAATGAGTTTTCAGATTCAGTGAAGAGAAATGTGAGATTAAGAGATCAGATACCAGGGTCCTTTCTCTCAACTCTGCTGTTGTCACTGAACCAGCAATGACAGTGGAAGCTCTCCAGCTCTCTGTATTCTGTATTCTCTCAGAATACACAAAATTGGAATATGAGAAATATAAGGAGAAGAGAGAGACTCTAAGTTGCTGATAATGGCCTTAGTATACTCTCAAATCCTTTGTGGATGCAGAGTGTATGTAAGAATCCGTAAGACAGATTCATGGAACATTGTTCAAGGGCAGTATAGTACAAGCATCTGCTGAGAAGAGGGACCTAAAAGATTTTATGAGCCTCAATTAATTAGTATAAGGAGCTCATGTATTTAAATCCTAGATATATATTATGTCACTGGAAGATAGCATGTGTGTTGTACATATTCTACTGTGTATCATGTTAAAAGATATATATCTCTCTTAATATACCACACACACACATGCACACACACACACACACACCCCACTGGTTCAGAACACAGAATGTTAGAGCTGAAGCACAGTTAACTCCATGTTGTGAATAGCACACATTTTCCTTGGATGCACATAAGAATAGAAAGGTGCATGCCAAAGAGTCTAGCTCTAATGCCCATGTGGTGGGAATTCTATGTCTGTAAAGTATGAGTTTCCCATAGGCAGTGTATCATGGAGTGTGATGGTGACAGGAATGGTCCTTTGGGTATAGAGGGGAACTTTGAAGAGTTGTTCAAACTGTGACAGGTAGGGATATTTGCCATGGTTGGATTACTTTGTCACATTCATATAGGATTGTATTCCTTTCTTTTGAAGTACTTTTTTTTGTTTTGGACAGAGATTTTTAAATTATTTATATAATTATATATAAATTATATCTATAATTTATGTTTCCCTCATTGTACTCTTATTTTCTGAAAGCTACGACTGTGTCTCTTTTGCTCAGCATCATATCTCCAGTGTCTGTCATAGAATGTACCAGCCTTTCTTAAATGTTCCTCACCTAAACCATGGAAAACAAAATTATCTGAGGGGCTATTTTCTTAGTACCCTCAAGATGGTACATAACTACCAGCATTCTAGATGCATAGGGAAGAAATTAATGCCTTATGTAGAATGGATACTTTGGGACATTAGGTCTTACTTCTTATGGAAACTTGGTTGAGAAAGGCTGGTACTTTCAATCAAGATGTGGTGATCAAGGTACTTTGAATCAAGACGTGGGTGAGGGTGAGGGAGGGATGACTCCCCCAAATAGTGCTTTCCAGTGGTAGGGTGAATAAATGTTGGTTAGCTAAAAAACAACAAATGTCCACTAATCCTCAATAAATATTTATTTATTTTTTTAAAGATGTATTTATTTATGAGAAACACACACACACACACACACACACACACACACACACACACACACACACAGGCAGAGACACAGGCAGAGAGAGAAGCAGGCTCCATGCAGGGAGCCCGATGTGGGACTCGATCCTGGGTCTCCAGGATCACACCCTGGGCTGCAGGTGGCGCTAAACTGCTGCACCACTGGGGCTGCCCTCAATAAATATTTATTAAATGAATGAGTGACTGGGTACTCAGGCCTTTTAGCTCAGGCTGCTCTTCTCTTTCAGGCTGATGAAAAACCAAAGAATGATGTGATTGTATTGAGTGACTGGCCTGAGACTCTCTACCAGGAGCCTCACCATCCCCAGAGCAAGCCTTTCATCTGCTTCTACTCCATCAATGTCAACTATTTTGTGTCCTTAAACTGGATGGAGCCACATTCAAAACAAATACAGGTAAAGCTACCTCATTTTTTCCTTCCATCTTAATTCACTTTACATATATCATACCTCAACTGCCCTCATAATCAGAATGATGAGAGTGGATTCTGAGTTAGCTTATTTTTAATATTCATCTCCATATCCCAATCTGACCTAGATGCAGTGATCCTTTTTCACCTCTAGTCATCAGGTCCAGAGAATTCATATTCCCCAGAAAGCAGACTGAAGGCCAAGGAAAGAGCCTTAAGCATTGTGTTTCTATTACATACCTGAATACCAGTACCAGGAAATTCCCCAAATCAAGCTGTGCAGTCTTTCCTTGGTCTGACAGGAAGAGACAAGTATCTAAACATTCAACCCTTGGTATGCCTCACTCTTGGGAAATAATCTGCCTCCATGTCAGGGCTTTCATCTTTCTTCCTCTTCTAGGCAGTACTTTGGGTACAGAAGAAAGATACAGAAATGGGAGGAATCATAGAGAAGATGAACTTTCCTGTGATGGATCAAGTGCCACCTGTTGAAACAATGGTCCACACAGGTTCTTCCCACATGTTAATTGCTTACTGTGGTGACATGCACCTGCGGCTCTTCGGAGACCATCATCGAGCATTCATATCTCTGGGCACAGTGCCCTGTCGTTTCTCCATCAGCTGCCTCTGCTATGACTCAGAAACTGATATACTGCTCTCTGGTACCTTGGGGGCTGTGGTTACCTGGCTTATCATACCAAACAGCAGGGGCCTCCAGATGGCACAAATAATGCCCATGCCTGATCATGAGCTTGTACAGGGCTTTTCCCTGAATGGCCCCCATGGCTCCCTCCTGGCTTTCTGTGAGAATATGGTGAGGGTCTTTACCCACCAGGGTCAGGGCCAGCTGAAAGAGGTTAAAAAATTCACTCCCATAGCCAGTGGCTCTTCCATCACTTGCTCATTCACTTGTGTCTCTCAGGGCTCTTTCTATGCTGGAAACAAGGATGGAGAGATCCATGCTTGGGGTCTAGACCAGGGTAACTTCCTCCACAGCTTCCAAGCCCATTCCTCTTCAGTGATATGTGTTCACAGCCGGCCAGAGACCTACACTTTACTAACAGCAGGCCAAGAAGGTGTAGTAAAGGAATGGAATCTTGCCTTTGGGAACTTGCTGCGGCAGCTGAATATTGATGAAGATCTGCAGCGACTTCAGTTTATTGATAACACCACTTTTTTCTGCCAGACCACCCACAATTTCTCATTGCACCACCTGCCTTACTTTTATAGCCTCTTCAATGTCTGTGGTTCTGCTCCTGAAAAGGTGCAGCGGGTCTGCTGTGGCCATAATTGGACTCGGATCCTGTGTGCCACTAAGGATGGTTTGTTGCGCTTCTTGTCTCCAGTAACAGGAGATCTCCTCGTTATCACCTGGCCTCTACTTATCATGGATAAGGCCGTGGCTTGGGCCTATGACTCAGACAAAGAAGAGCTCTTTGTGGCAACAGGCAGTTCAGAGGTGCTGGTGTTTGATGCAACGCACTCTCCTTGCACAGCCAAGTACCTGGTATGCACTTCGGTAAATTCTAGGGATAGAGTAAGATGCCTGGCCTACGGGCAGTCCCATTTGGGTATGGGCCTAGGAGGACTGATGTTCTGTGGGCATGACAGTGGCATTGTGAGAATCCTCTCCCACTATAGCTATGCCCGAATAGAAAAGACTGTTCACTCTGGGGCAGTTTTGGCACTGTCTACCCTGGAGGGTCCCCAGGAAATCTCCTTACTCTGTTCCTATGGCATGGATCGTATTTTATACCTGACAGAGGCTGTGCTTCAGAAGAACAAGGTAATTCTGCAGCCCATAAACAAAATTCTATGTGCTTGTGCCCTAACACATGTGATACTCTTGCCAGGTTCAGTGGGTGCTATCACTGAGAACCACTGCTGGCGTCTCTGGCACTACCAAAATTTTCTGAAATCTTCAGAATCAAAACAAAGTTCTGTGTTTAAAGAAACAAAATGCCTGCACCAATGTGCAATAACTTCATTTGATGTCTGCTATTCCCTGAAACTTTTTGTCACAGGGGGCATTGATGGCTCAGTCCGGATCTGGGATTTCCATGGTAGGCTTATAACTGAGTTGGATTCAGCATTGGATTTTGGCCCACTCTGCTTTGCCAATAATCGGGGTGACCTGCTTTTGACTTTCAACCAGAGTCTTTACCTGGTATCCTGCTTAAATTTGCTCCCTCCTACTCAGCTGATTCACCTAGCTAACCTAAGCAGTGCAGATGATATACAAGAAGTCCCTAAACCCTTTCTGCCTAGTTTCTTCCTTTCTTTTGAAAGAGTATTTGTACCCAAATTTGTTTACCTTGGACAAGGGCTCCAGGAATTACAGGGTCTAGAAGCCCTTGTTAACAAACGGGTCATTGCCTTTGACAACACTGTGCCCCATGTTGTAGAGGAAGAGAGACATATGTCCACTGTGATTCAAGTGGAACCCAAATTATACTTTTCAGGGGATAAGAATATTGCTTTTGACCCCAAGCATAATAGTCCTCCACACATGGTTCCTGCTCAGTTACAACTTGCTGACTGGGATGGATTGAACTATTACCATATGTTACATTGCTTCTTTGGTAAAGGGCAGCAATGGCCCTTCGCTCCTGATGGCTACATCCCCAACTCAGTTATCCGTGCCCGCCTTTGGCCTGATGGTACCCCAATCTTCTTACGCTATGATCTGTACCAAGATAAGGACTGGGACATGACCAAACTTGTCAGATCCCTGACACTGTCACCTGTGACTCTACTAGAAGAGAACGTCTCAATGAAAAAAGAGGATAAATCCAAGAAGTGGAAAAAAACTTTCTATGATATTCTAGTAAGTATGATAAACCAAAATTGGACAGGAAGAAAATTGGATGAAGAACTTATAAATCATTTAATTGAGGCCATCCTCAACCTCACAATTTACTGTTCTGTAGATCAATATAAGACATATATTACTGTCCTGGCACAATTTTTTTCCACTTATCAAGTATCTCCAAGATTGTGCTATGAGGCTGCCTGTCGCCTAATGGAAGATACAGTCCATCCCAATCCATGCATCCGTGAGCTAGCCTGGGAGGGGCTGGAGAGGCTAGGCATCCTGAGCCATCTCTTTGCTGTTCCACTGGCTATAGGATTGATGGACAGTGATGAGAATGTGCGGGCTAAGGCCTTACACCTTATGATAAGAGTCACAGGCATCCAAACCAAGACTATGCTGGTAGGCCTGCTGAGGAAAGAAGAAACCTTCCGAGAAATGCAGTAAGTTGGCTGGTGGCTTTCCCTCTTCTGTTTCTTCTAGCTCCTAACCTCCAAAATATGATTGCTTATTCTCTTTTCACACAACTCTTTCTCTTCTTTTTCTCCCACTATGTCCTTTGTTTCCATTTGCATTTTTCCCTGATGCCTACCCTTCCTCTGACCATTAGTTAGTCTGCCCTTCTCTCACTTCTTCACTTCCTTAAGATTCCTCATGACTCAAGTCCACAAATCTTCCAATCAAAAAAGCATCTTGTATCTGACAATTCTATTCTTTGCTATGTTTGATTTTTTAAAAATATTTTATATATTCATGAGAAACACACAGAGAGAGGCAGAGACATAGGCAGAGAGAGAAGCAGGCTCCTCACAGGGAGCCTGATGCAGGACTCGATCCCGGGACTGGATCATGCTCTGAGCCAAAGGCAGATGCTCAACCGCTGAGCCCCCCAGGTGTCCCTGATTTTTTTTCTTCTTCACCCACCCTTTACTTGAGATGACTCTGGATTAAATGGCTACTTTATCCCTGCCTCTTCAATTTCAATTTCTCCTTTTCTTCCTCCTTCTCTCCCTTCCTTCCCTCCTCCACATCCTTTTTTTTTAATTTTTATTTATTTATGATAGTCACACACACACACACACACAGAGAGAGAGAGAGAGAGAGAGAGAGAGGCAGAGACATAGGCAGAGGGAGAAGCAGGCTCCATGCACTGGGAGCCCGATGTGGGATTCGATCCCAGGTCTCCAGGATCGCGCCCTGGGCCAAAGGCAGGCGCTAAACCGCTGTGCCACCCAGGGATCCCCACATCCTCTTTCAAATCGTGTTTTATCACTGGCTGGGTATCATCCTTCTTTCCTCTTGACTTTTGTAGGCAAGAATTTATTGGAGAAGCCTCTCTGGACCAGCTACTGGGGATCCAAGCTAAAGATATCCAGTGCCTGCTTACTCAGGTAAAGCAGCGGCTAAATGAAAACTTGACCTTGTCATATAGAGACCAACAACCTACTTTTCATTCAGACATATCAATGGCTGGCGAACCTGAGATGCTTGTCAAACAAATAGTCGTACCTGAAAAGATCACCAAACCAAAGGAAAGAATGACACATGTTCAAGCAAAGAGAAGACAGCTTAGTATGTATGGGTTAATATATGGGGTATATTTGGGTACCAAAAGTCAGAGTCAATAAGGCCAAAGTATTTAAAATGATATTGGGAAATATTATTACCTAAAGAGATTCTTTTCCACAGAAAATAGGCTTTGTGGGAAAGAAACACATATGCCACAACAAATACCAAGGTCTTATTTATTTAGGATATGGAAGCTGGGATAAAATGGCAAGCATTTCTGTACCATAAAGCCTCAGTCCCCTTTGCCTTTTTGGTTTTTTTTAAGATTTATTTATTTACGAGAGACAGAGAGAGAAAGACAGAGACACAGGTAGAGGGAGAAGCAGGCTCCATGCAGGGAGCCTGACGTGGGACTCAATCCCACATCTCCAGGATCACGCCATGGGCTGAAGGCGGCGTTAAACCGCTGAGCCAACCGTGCTGCCCTGCCATTGTGCCTCTAATGGCAGTTCATTGGACTAGATGTTATAAAGGATATTACTCAGAGCCTCTTTTTTTCTTAACTATTTTTCTCCCAATATCTCTGCAGTTAAAAAGGAACTGAGAGTTTCCAGAAAGCCAATACAGACAAAATATGTAAAATTTAGCTCTGTGTTGGTACCTTCAAAGGATAAAGATGAACAAAGAGAGGCAAGGCGATCAGAGCAGATTGACACCCAGCATGTTGCCTTAGAGCCTGAATTACCATTAAGTACTTTAAGCCCAGCCAAATATCAAGAGGATGCTGAATCAAAGGAGGTCATGGTGGAAGCCACAGAAGAAGGAATAGGCCACATGGCAATCACAGAGGTTATGACAGCCATAGATCAACGTGACATGAAAGATTATGAAGAGGTGTTCCCTAAGGTGGAAAGACATGAAGTAGAAGGAGGAGGCCACATGGAGGTCACAGAGTTTATGAAGGCCATAGGTCAACATGGCATTAAAGATTATGGGGAGGTGTTCCCTAAGATGGAAAAATATGAACTTATGAATAGGCTTTGGAAAAGGGCAGTAAAAAGAGGCTATGAAAAAGTAGTTGCAAAGTTGAAACAGGAAAAAGACTTGAAGGATATTTCAGAGACAATTGTAGAAGAGACCAAGGAAAAAGGCATGCAGATTACTGAGGAAGAAATAGATACAAGGAAGAAACATGGAAAGAGTGGCCGAGGTTTGGCTGGTATGCCTGGACGCATTGGTAGATTAGATACCAGGTCTTGGCGGGATGACATTTGCTATCTTGTTACCTCAAGGATAGCAAGTTCCTGTCCAGGAATGTTAAGGGATCTGGGTCAAGAATTGGTGGACTTGGCTCAGGTGATGCTTGCTCCCCAAGATCCCAGCTGGGATCTCTTTCAAGAGATCTGCCCCCTTTTAAAGGATTCATCAGAATTGCATGAAAAGGTGGTAGGAGAACCATTCATTATAACTGAAAAGGTGGATACAGAGGTTGTTGAGGAAGAGAGCACAGAATTGGGAGGACAGAGAGGCAAAAAAGCATTAAAGGATAAGGCATTTTCTCAAGTCAAGAAAAAGAAAGATGTTTTCTTAGACAAACTAGTCTTAGAGAAAAGGAAATTTAAAAAAGAAGCAAGGAAACTGGGCAGGCAAGAAAGGAAAATAGCTGAGGAAGAAAGGAAACTGAGTAAGACAGAGAAGAAATTAATGCAAAGAAAGGAGAAACTGACTCAGGATAGGAAGAAACTGACCCATCAGAAAGAAAAAATACCTTGGGATGAAAAAATAGTGGCTTCTCCACAAGAGAAATTAACAACCAAGGAAGAGTTAGTCTTAGGAGGAATGAAAGAGACTGGAAAAGGGGGAAAACTACTAAGGGAAAGAAAAAGAATTACCCCAAAGAAGGGGAGGGCAGCCCTGAAAAGGGGCAAGTGGGACTGGGAGAAGATTATGATGGCCCATGAAGAAGGCATGTGGCCCCAAGAAGAGGGGTTGCCTACCTGGGGAGAGAGGAAATTGTCCCAGGAGGAGGAGGAACTGGGGGATGAGGAGGAGGAGCTGGGGGATGAAGAGGAGGAGCTAGGTGAGGAAGAGGAGGGACTGGGAGAGGAAGAGGAGCGGCAGGGAGAGGAAGAGGAGCGGCTGGGAGAGGAAGAGGAGGAACTGGGAGAGGAAGAGGAGCAGTTGGGAGAGGAAGAGGAGCAGCTGGGAGAGGAAGAGGAGGAACTGGGAGAGGAAGAGGAGGAACTGGGAGAGGAAGAGGAGGAACTGGGAGAGGAAGAGGAGGAACCTTGTGAGGAAGAGGAGGAGCCAGGTGTGAAAGAGGAGGAACTGACCTGGGATGAAGAGGAACTAATATTGCACTTAAAGAAACAAGTTAAGAGCAGGAAGGAAAAGTCCCATAAAAAGAAGAAAGATGTCCAGGATATGGAGAAACATGTTGAGGAAGAGGCCCAGAAAAGGGGAAAATTGGCCCAGGGAGAGGAACATTTGTCTAGCAAAGAGGAGGGACTATCTGGGGAAGAGGGAAAACAGGCATCAGAAAGGGGCAGCTTGACAGAGCAAGAAATTAAATTGACCCCAGAAAAGAAGAAATGGTTAGAAAAGGAGAAAAAAGAGGCCCATAAAAAGAAACAAATCCAAGAAAAGAAAAAACAAGCTGGGAAACAGGAGAAAGATCAAAAAGAAAGGCAGACTAAGAAAGAGGAGAAAGAAGCCAAGGACAGATGGTTAGCCCAGAAAAGAAAGCAACTGGGCCTAGAAGAAGAGGAAAAGCTTGTGGAAAAGGAGAGAAGGTCCCAGAAAGAAGAGGAAAAAAACAAGAAAAAGAGGCAACGGGCCTGGGAAAAAAAGAGAGCAGACTTAGGAGAGGAGGAACAGGCTGGGGAAATGGAGAAATGGTCACAGGAGGAAAAGAAACAGACCTGGGAAGAAAAGAGATGGGATCAGAAAGAGAAGAAATTGGCTCAAAAAGTGGGGAAACAGGCTAAGGATAAAAAACAATGGGCCAGAAGAAAAATGAAACTGATCCCACAAAAGGAGAAAAAGATAGCAGAAATTGAAAAAGTGTCCCCCCCCAAAAGAGAAACAAGCCAAGAAAGAGGAGAAATGGGTTGGGAAAGATAAGAAAGCCACTGATGAAAAAGAACAGCCACACACAAAAAAGCAACTAGCCCTACAAGAGCAGAAACAATCCCAGGAAGAGAGGATATGGAGTCAGAAAGAGGAGAAAGAGAGTGATCAAAGAAAACAATGGGCCTGGGAAAAAGAGGAGCTGTATGTAGAAGAGGAGGAAGATGCTGGTGAAATGCAGAAGAAGTCCCAGGAAAAAGAGGAAAGAGCATTGGAGAAAAGACTGACCAAGAAAGACAGTAAACTGGCAAAGGGGGAGAGGCATATTGGTAAGAAAAAAAAGGCAATAGCCAGAAAGGGAATTGGCATAACAAAGAGAAAGAAAAAAACTGAAGAAGAGAAAGAAGTTATGAAGGAAGAGGAATTGTCCCAGGAAGAGAGGGAACTGGTCTGTGACACTAGGACTAAGGAGATGGGTGTTGCCAAGGAAAAAAGGAAACGAACCAAAGAGAAGAGAATACAGGCAATGAGGAAACTGGACATGGAGAAAGGGATTCCTTCTGAAGACAAAGAGGCTAGTTCCAGGTTAAAAGATATAAGGAAGAGGGAGAGTTACCTGTTGAGGAGCCTAGCTAAAATAATTAGAGAAATGAACATAGTGCCACTGGAAAAGGCAGAAATATCTGAGGAAGAGAGATCATCCATGATGGGGAAGTGGATGGAAACAATGGAAATGGAAGGCCAGAGGTGGGAATTTTTTAAGGAACAGGGAGAAATAATGAAACAAGAGAAGGCGCTGGATCAGGAAGAGAGAAAAGTAGATGATAGACTGGCCACCAAAGAGAAAACACTGACTGATGGAGACAGCTTGCAGGAGAACCAAAGGTTATTAGAAAAGGTCCTGGGAAAGATACTATTAGATAAAGTTCAGGTAGATAGTATATTAAAGGAAGTCCAGGAACAAAATCTGTTAGGAAAAAAGCAGCTAAAGAAACTTCTGAGGAGAATTGAGAAGAATAAACCAGAAAAAACTCAGCTAAAGTGCTTATTAGAGAATATCAGAGATACCCTGTTTGAAGGCTTATCTGAGAGTTTGACTGAAAAAGAAATAATGGAAGGTCCAGAGAAGAAGAGGAAAGAGGAAGAGACTGTCCCTGAGGAAGGAAAAGAGGAAGAGATTCTGCCCAGGGAAGAGAAAGGTAAGTATCTGATTAGGAAGAAGAAAAAGAAGGCAAGCCTGAGTGAAGAGGAATTGGAGGAGAACTTGGCTAAGAAGCATAAAAAAGAGAGTTCAACCCAAAGAAAGAAAAAGGAAAAGAAGTCAACTGAAGAGAAAGAGAGGCTGAGTAAGAAGAAAAAGGAGAGCCCACAAGAGGAGGAGGAGAGCCTGAGTGAGAAGGAGAGCCTGAATGAGGAGGAGGAGGAGAAGAGCCTGAGTGAGGAGGAGGAGGAGGAGAGCCTGAGTGAGGAGGAGGAGGAGGAGAGCCTGAGTGAGGAGGAGGAGGAGGAGGTGAGCCTGAGTGAGGAGGAAGAGGAGGAGGAGGAGAGTCTGAGTGAGGAGGAGGTGGAGGAGGAGGAGGTGGAGGAGGAGGAGGTGGAGGAGGAGGAGGAGAGCCTGAGTGAGGAGGAGGAGGAGGAGAGCCTGAGTGAGGAGGAAGAGGCAGAAATGGAGAAGATAGAGAAAAGAGAGAAGGAGGAGGAGGAAATGCAGAAGGATGCAGAGAGCAGACTTATGAAGGTGATACGCTCAGAGGAGAGAGTACTGAAAACAAAGCTCTCCAAGGAAGAAATGAGCTTATCAAAGCTAGCAATAGAAGATAAAGCTCTTGCTGAGAAAACGGAGGGTATAACTAGAAGGGAAATGCCTTTTACGAAAGAAAGATTGCTTGATGGAAAGAGATATCCCACACTAAGGGATAAGGTCATGTGGCCAACAGTTCTGAAGAGCCCCTTCAAAATACCACTCCCAGGAGCCCCAGAAAAAGAGAGAATGCCCCTGAAAGTGTTAGGGGTTCATTTGGATTTGAAAGGACAGGAAAGTCCACTTCTTGGAGCACACCCTCTGACAAGTTCTTGGGGAAGACAAGAGGATGTGCTCTTGGAGAAAGCCAAGAGTATGGGAACAGGCTTAGAGACACGGATCCCAGAAGGCCTCCACAGGTTAGAGTCCCACTTATCTGATATCATGAAACCACAGAGACGTGAACATAGGTCCAAAGGTAAGAGGTGGAAGCAGTTCTTTAAGTACCAGGATTCCCCAGTGGGGAAAACTGAAGGCCAGGTCCCAGGGCCAGCCCCAGCGCTAGCCCCATCCCTTACTTCTATACCAGCCAAAAGGCCATGCCACTCAGAAGCAAGCTTCTCAGATGAGGACTGGATTACCAATGCCTTAATAAGACTGGAAGCAGGAGAGCAGCTTTCCAGGGACAGTTTCCATAGACTGCACCAGCATCTCAGAGATTTCATTTCAAAGGGATATTTGAAATGGATGCATCTGTGCAGTCTTAAAGCCATTGCTAAACACCTCAGGCAGAACCTAGAAGTAAGTCACACAGACATATCACAGCCCTCTAAGGATGTTTTGAGTCCAGTGCACTTAAAAGTGATCCCTCCAATTAGAAGAAAACAAAAAGAGAGCTGGCTAGAGCCATTATCTATTGTTGAGCCAGTGTTACCATCAGCTACCAGGAGGTCTCAAACCCCAGAAGCTCTCAATTGGCATCTCTTAGCTGAGTCCCAAAGGAAGAAGCAGGCACAACAGTTATCCTCTGCTATGAAGGAGATACCACACCTTTATACAATCAGAAAACACATTCCCACAACTGTCTATCCTTCTGTGGGTAAGAAATCCCTGGACTTGATATTCCAGAAGGACTTGAAGGCCTTGAGGTATAAGGGAGGGCTCCCCAAATTTCACATGGCAAAGAGGGAAGCACTGCCCATCCCTTCACCAGTATTACCATCAACCACTAAGAGGATTCGAGTCCCAAAGGCCAATTTACACTGGCATCTCTTAGGAGAACCTTACAGGAGTGCGCGGGTACAGCAGTTATCCAATGCTCTCAGAGAGATGGAAATGAAACACTTTTATCCTGCTGCAAGAGAGATTTTCACAGGTGCCCATGCCTCTGTGGACAAACAAACTCTAGCACTGATGTTTCAGAAGGATATCAGGGCTTTTAAGGGAAAAGACAGGCCCCTCAAGTTGCCTAAGTTGAAAAAGGCACAGACCACCTCTAAAAAAAAGGAAGAGGTGCCTCAGTGGGAGACATTTGTGGCACTGTATTATGTTTTGCAGATGTTGCAGCAACGATATGCAAAAGACAGCACTGCTTGGATGGAACAGTTTTACCAACTCATGGATCTGTACCAATTTAAGTCCCCTCAAATCCAGAGGCTTCTACTAGAGTTGCTGCACAGAGAAGAACTCCAACCCCGAGAGATTATGTACCAAAAGGCCCTGAAAACTCAGGAGCTAGTCCCTGGTGAACGGTTGTTCTGTGGCCTGTTTTGTGGTCATTCCCATGTCCCTGCAGGTCCTCTCAAGTTCCAGAACGTTGTACCACTGCCTGGGAAAAGCAGAGTGCATACTATCCAACCTGTGGGCATTGCCCAGTATGGGTTCCTAGAACTTGCCTGGAAAAACCTACCACAAGTCAATTCTTACCTTATTGAGAGGCTGCCCAACATCCCTACTCCTACTCTATGATTTGGCCTAATATTAGGACTTTGGGGTCTTAGTGGGAAATAACCCTGGTCATAGATTTTAAGCCTCCTTCCCTGTTCCTCACTTCACGGTGGGGCTAGACAAGGACTTGTACTTATTTAGCTCCAGAAACCTGCTTGCCTTGTATTGAATAAAATGGCATTTCTCATTTGTAACAAACATTTTGGCTTATTTCTCTTCCTCCCCAAGCCTAGAATCCCCATAGAAAGTAGGTAGAGAAAACAAGTAACTTTTATCCTGACTGGACCAATTGTTTTTTCAGTCAGTTGGGTACATCCTTTGGAGGGTAGGTACCAGTTGATCAACTTATATTAGAAAAGTCTGTCCTTGAGCTCTTTCTTTTGGTTAATATTTCCTTCTTCAAAGGTCCCTAGGGGGGAGAGTGTCTGGCACAGTTGGGCTTTTATTTATTTAGCATTAATCTGAGAGGAAGCAGAGAAGACCCATAATTTTGCCCCTTCATAAACTTTGATCTGAAGTTCCTGAACGTCTCTAAACCTCAGTGTTCTCATCTACATAATGGGGAAATAGAGTGAAAAAATGATTAAGAATGCCAACTTTGGAAAAAAAAAAGAAAGCCAACTTTGAATTGGAAGAACTCTCATTCTAGTTCTTTTTCTGCCATTTATTAGCTCTTTAATCTTAGCTTTTAGTTTCTTCAAAGTAAAATGGTGGTAATAATGCCTACCTCAGTGAAACTCTTAACACAATTCCTGGAATATAGTTCTCTTTTTCTAATGGGTAGCTATTTTAATGGCAGATGTAGCTATTTGTTTTATTTATTTATTTATTTATTTATTTATTTATTTATTTATTTATTTATTTTAGATGTAGCTTTTTGAAGTGTGGAGATGAAAATATGAGGTCTAAGATTCAAAGAATATTTGAATCCCTGCCTTTCAATTTGACATGTAGTCTTGAGCCAGTGATTTCACCTCTCTAAGCCTCAGGTATTGGGTTGTTGTTTTTTTTTATTTAAGTTTTTCAATTGTTTACTTTATTCTAATTCTCAGCTTTACCATGTGCAAATGAGGCTCACTGGGAGGCTAGAATGAGATTCTGGGTATGCCCGTATTAGTGTACTGGGAACGCAGGAAAGGAACTGAAGGATAGAGGAGGGGCCTGGCACCTCAAGGGAGTTTGAGGGTACCTTGGGAGGGGCTATAGAGATTAAGGAGAGAGTCTGCAAGAGCAAGAGAGGAGCTAGAGCTTGAAGGTGTTTGGAAGCCCAAGAGAAGATCTTGGGCATCAGAAATCAGACTCCTGAGGGAGGTGACAAATTCTGAGGAAGAAAGTTTGGGAGCCCAGGAGATCAGAAGCTTGAATACTGGGAAGAAACCCTGGAGCAGGAGACAGATCTCAGGGGAGAGGTATGAGAGCCAAAGGGAATAGATGAAGTTGACAATGTACAGAAGCTAATAAGTTCTGGGAACAAATCCCATGCCCAGCAAAGCATAAGAAAGAAGAGTAGAAGAAGCAGATTTTGATATTAGAGGAGCCATGGAGCCCTTGAAGGAGGAACCAGAGCTCAGGGGAGATGCCTAGAACTCATGAGAGAAGTCAGAGTGCAAGGTAGAAGGGTTTAGGAGAAAAAAGAAGCCTCCAAGTTTCCAGAGAAGCAGTCTGCAAGGTCAGAGTAAGTTGAATAAATCTAAAGATTAAAACATATAGCTATATATGAGGTAATTTCCTCATGTAAAATAATAGATTATATATTTATACATTATATATTATACATTATATTATATATTATACAATTATTGTATTATAGAATTATAATACAATAATATATATTATACATTATATATATTATACAACATATATAATGTATATTGTATATATATTTATATAGTCTTTACCTCTGGTTCCTGCTAATATTTGGTCTTTGACCCGTTTCTGATACAGAACTCCTAAACCCCTTGGAATCTCTTGGGAGATATGAGTGACTTTTGTTCTGATGAGGTTACTCTTGGTAGACTCCTAGAAAGGAGCTGCTCACTAGAAAGATAAACCATGCATAAAAGCTTGGAACTTTCAGCCACATCTCCCATCCTCTAAATAAGGGCTGGAGATTGAGTTAATGATCAATCATGCCTACATGAAGCTTCTATAAAAAAATACCTCTAAAAAAAAGTTTGGGGTTCAGGGAGGTTCCAGGTTGGTGAACACATTTATGTGCCAGAGGGTAATGCATTCCAATTCCATGGAACAGAAGCTCCTGCACTTAGGACCCCTTCACATCTCACCCTATGTATGTCTTTTTCTGGCTGTTCATCTGTATGATTTAAAAAATCATTTGTAATAAACCAGCAATAATAAGTAAACTGTTTTCTTTGGTTGTGTGAGCTGTTATAGCAAATAATTGAATCCAAGAAGGGGATTGTGAGAGCCTGCATATTCTATCCCAGTCAGACAGTTCTGGGTAATCTGGATACCAACTACCTCTGATTAGGGTCTAAAATGGAGGGCAGTCTTGTGGGACTGAGCCCTTAATCTGTGGGATCTGTGCTAACTCTAGTTAGTGTCAAAATTGAATTGGATTGCAGGACACCAGGTTCATATTGGAGAACTGGTCTGTGTGGGGGAAAAAAACAACAACCACACATCTGATGTCAAAGTGTTGTGAATGTGAGTAAAGGAAAATCCAATCAGTTTTTCCTAGGCACCTCCCCCCATCAAATATCTCCTCAAATATCCTATTTCCAGAAGAGGGAAAAATAAAATGAAAGGTATTAAATCATGTTTAGTCTGAGGAAAACTGTTAATAGTTTATAATAAGATCTGCTACAGCAGGAAGATGAAATTTGTTTTTCTTTAACACTAGGGAGTTTTGCCAAGCTTTTTATGATCCCAGAAACAAAAGAACCATAAAGAAGAAACTGAATTTGATTTATTTACATCAGCAGATACATTTTAAAAAATTATTTTTAACAAAATTTGCCATTTGGGCCATTTTCAAGTGTACAGTTTAGTATGTTCACATTGTGCAACCAACACCAGCCATTTTTCCAGAAAACATTTTTCATCTTGAAAAACTAAAACTCTGTTGCCAGTATACAGTAATTCCCCATTTTCTCTACCCCCCAACTCCTGGCACCTACCATTCTACTTTCTGTCTCTAAGTACCTCATATGAGTGGAAAAAAGTATTTTTTCTTTGTGGCTTGTTTCACATAGCACAGTGTCTGTGTCTTCAGAGTTCATCTATGTTGTAGCATGTGTCAGAATGTACTTCCTTTTTAAGATGGAATGGTATTCTATTGTACATATATACCATATTTAATCTATCCATTTATCTGTTGACGGGCACTTGGGTGGCTTCCACTTTTTGGCTATTATGAGTAATGCTGCTATGAACATGCATTTCAAAATCTTTAAAAAAATTTTTTGGGTATACATTCAGAGGTGGAATTGCTGGCTCATATGGTACTTTTTTTTTAAAGATTTTATTTATTTATTTATGAGAGACACACACAGAGGCAGAGACACAGGCAGAGAAAGAAGCAGGCTCCATGCAGGAAGCCTGATGCGGGACTCGATCCCGGGACTCCGGGATCATGCCCTGGGCCGAAGGCAGATGCTCAACCACTGAGCCACCCAGGCATCCCCTTCTTTTACTTTTTTAAAGGAATTGTTAGTTGGCATAATTTTAAAAATACCATTAGGGTTCACTGTAGTGATTGTTTTCTGAGTTTATGCAGTGATCTAAATCTGTGTTTCACAAATTTTGAAATAAAATATAAGGCTCCTTATGTATATTTTAAATTTTAATTGTTTCATTGAGGTGTAATTAACATATAATACAATGTACAGATATTAACATATTTATTTATTATTTATTTATTTATTTATTTAAATTTTTATTTATTTATGATAGTTACACACAGAGAGAGAGAGAGAGAGAGAGAGGCAGAGACACAGGCAGAGGGAGAAGCAGGCTCCATGCACTGGGAGCCCGACGTGGGATTCGATCCTGGGTCTCCAGGATCGCGCCCTGGGCCAAAGGCCGGCGCCAAACCGCTGCACCACCCAGGGATCCCTATTTATTTATTTTTAAAATATTTTATTTATTTATTCATGAGAGACACACACAGAGAGAGAGAGAGGCAGAGACACAGGCAGAGGCAGAAGCAGGCTCCACGCAGGGAACCTGATGTGGGACTCGATCCCGGGACTCCAGGATCACACCCTGGGCTGAAGGCAGGTGCTAAACTGCTGATCCACCCAGGGATCCCAATATTAACCTATTAGTTCACTGAGTTTTGACAATTGTATACATCCCTGTAACAACTACCCAGACCAAGGTAAAGTATTTCCATATGGCCCTTTCCAGTTTTTTGTGCCAATTTCCAGCCACTTCTTCAACTCCCTCCTTCAAGGTAACTACTCTTTTATTACATTATTTTTTCCTGTTTTTGCACTTCATATAAATGGAATGAAGTATGCAGACTCTTGTTTTGGGTTTATTTTGCTCAATATGTTTTTTTGAGATGCATCTATATTGTGTGTATCAGGAGTCTGTCCTTTAAACATGTATGATTTGATCGATATTTGAATTATCTCCAGGTAGAGATATTATGAATGAGGCTGTTATGAACATTCTTGGACAAAACTGTGAATATGTTTTCATTTCTCTTGGGTACTTACTTCAGGATGGAATTGAGGTTTTTAAGAATATTTCCCCAAAGGGCACTGGGTGCCTCAGTCAGATAAGCAATAGACTCTTGATTTTGGCTCAGGTCATAATCTCAGGGTCCTGAGATTGAATCCTGAGTTGGGTTCTGCACTCAGTGTGAAGTTTGCTTCTCTTCCTCTCGCTGAGCCTCTCTCCTCACTCTTTCTATTAGATAAACAAATCATTAAAAAAAGGAATATTTTCCCAATATTGCCCCTTAATTTGAAAATTTATATGGAAATACAAAGGATCTAAAAGAGACAAAATAATATTTAAAAGAAAAGCAATGGGTGGCTGGATGGCTCAGT